TATATATATATATATATATATATATAGACCCTCATCGGTGCTTAATACTGAATCCTGAGGCCCCTCCCTCTGATTATGCTGTTAGTCACGCGAGGAACACACAGGCGCTATATTGCTAGTAATACTAGCAAACGCGGGCCTTGTCAGCTCTGGCAGTGTCGCCAGTAACAAAAATAACATTGCGCGTCAATAGCCTGCCCTGTTCAGGATGCAAATTAGATATGCCATAGCAAGAGGAGCGCAGCGGCGATCCTAAGACGTGATTACTCAAGACATTAACAAAGGACCGAGGGGGACTATAGTAGAATGCTTTCAGTCCGGCTTAGCTGCGTCTTCAGTGCCAACGTGTGCAGCGAATATGCTGGAACATTAAATGCTGTTAGAACAGCGCATCATCAGAAACGAGACAACAGAATTATGCGTCGGATGTAGTAGCATAGCAGATGCTCTTATCTGCTGTACTCCCGGGTGTACCGGTTATATATAAAAACATGCTACAGTTGTAGAAGATTACCGGCAGCAGCTATTAGCACTTGCAAAGCACTGCCGACATTGCCGCTGCATCCTGGAATAGAGCAGCGAATTGATGTTCTAGGTGAATATGTGCACTGATACTTTCTCTCTGGAGACGAGGTTTTACTTCAGCACAGTCAGCACGGAAAGTGCCTCCTGGGGAATTCGTGCTTTTCATTGCCATTTAGTTTACTGAGCGACTTCACAAGGTAGTACCATTGCTTTGCAGGGAATTGTAGAGCTTGAATTTGGTCTCACAGGCGATCGCCAGAGGGAGGAAGGTGTGGTGCTCCACATCGTTCCAAAAGAAGAGGGTGTAGTAGGCGAGCGATACGCTGAGCTGAACATACACCCTGCCTAAGCGGCAGTCCTGTAGTAGCTCGTCAAACATCCGCGGGGAGGTGACATTGTGGTGTATCTGCACCCAGAGTTCCTTGGCACGAAAGCCACTTCCTTGTGCGTCGGCCATCGGGTGGAACGATACCGCTAATACGTAAGGAGGGGATTGACTCATTGACGGTGCATGTTGCAGGCGCTTGCTTGGTGTAGTTTCTCTTGTTCCTGCTGCCTCACCCACGTGCTCAATTTCACCGTATCGATGCTCTCTCGCTATCCCGCCTATAGATTCATCTATGAGCCCTCGTGCATATTCACTGTCTAAACCAACTTTTGTAGCGCCTGTTGTTGAACCATCAGTAGCAGGTGTAGAATCACGAAAGCCGTGGGGTGACTGAGCTGTGAGCTTCCCCTCCTCCTCTGTTCCTGCGGAAACCGCGGATGATGCATTCGCTTTGAGGTCTCGTAGGTCTGACGCCAGAACAGGGAAGACATCTGCATGAGGGGAGAAGAGCGCTTCTGCGGAAGCCTCGGAGTCTTCGCGCGTCTTCTGCGTCACTCTGTCCATCTGCATATCTAGCAGGTTGTCGTCCTGAGAAGTAGCGAAATGCATCGAAACGCCAACAGCCTCATAACAGCAAGCGGCATGAGATTCGCCACTGCATCATTGCTTGAAGAGCCATCTGGTGCGGCTGCATCCTCGGTCGTTTCTAGACTAAGAACAACCACTCGGACACCACGCATGCCGGCACAGATGACGCTTTTGTTTGCTGCATTGCACTTCAGAAGCAGGGGCCTGAATATCATGTTGCGCCGTTTTGCTGTTGGGTGTACCCTTCTATATTTGAAGCTCGCGTGCCAGCTGCTTGCTATTCTCCTTTTCGGAAGAACCTACATCGTCTTACCTTTACAATTGCCTCTCCGTGCAGAGGGAGAGAAGAACCCTCGATCAGCAGCGTTGCTGTGTCTTCAGTCCATTGAGGGGCTACATCATGCTGCGTCTGGTCCACTGCACTGGGATATCCTGATTCCAGCATGGAATTGTAAGTTGTATCTTTAGAAAGAGGCAGCAACTCAAACATGGGCCCGATAGTTCTGGATGCCAGTTGACTTGCCGGTGCAGCACCTTCCATGGGTGAAAGATCAGGCCCTGGTGCATCTTGGGATGCTGCTACTTTAACCTCTTCAATTCCATTGTCTACATGTGTTCCTGCTGCTGCGTCTCTGTGGATTTGGGGTTCGCTTGAGGGGTCTGGGTTGTCTGTTGGGTCTGAAGTTGAGAGGAAGTCGTCTTCGGCCACTGAAGAACGAGATGTAAAACACAACTCTTCTGGCTTCCTCCCAGCACGGGGGGCTGGGATGTATTCGAGGACAGAAACCCCGGACTCGGTGCCTCCAAAGAGACCTATATTTTTCGTATTTGCAGCGCACCACAGGAAAGCCATGGATATATTACATATATATACGGCAATCTCATTGACAATATTAACTTTAGCAGCCAGCCGGGGTTTATCGTAGCGTCCCTGCTGTATCTAAGGATACATTGAATGCATACGCCCGCCTAATTACCTTACTTGCATTATAAAGAGGCAGCAACAACTTGAATGCACCTTTGAGCACAGCCAGAGGCTCTGACTCCGACTTTGCGGTGTCGTCCACCATCAGCGTGAGAAGGGGAATGTTTGCAGCTGGACTGTGCTTCCTCAGAGTGCTTCCAGTAGTTACAAACCTCTCCTTTAGTGGTGTTGATGGGTCACTGTCCACCTCCAAAAGCCCTGAGCGGTTTTCTTTTTCCCATCGGTTGTTTGGTGTTCGAGTCCACAGGGGGAGCACAGCCAAGACCGCCTTCCCTCTAACAGGGCGGGTACGCACAAGAGCGCACCCAACGCCGAAGCCAACGACAAACGCCACAAAGAGAATTATGCAAGCCAAGACGAGCAGCGTAGACAAAGAGAGGAGATCTGACTCTTTCTCGCGCTCTGACGGCAGACAGACGTTTCACAAACCGCATGGGGTGCTGAATTGTTGTCAGTTGCCAAGATCCAGTTGTCTCATTCCCTGCTGCTGACGCAAACCTGGGTCGAAAGCAAATTTTCCTCTTTGGGTACAGTCCAGGAAGCGACACCTTACCCTCTTTATCACAGGCGGCGTTGGGGCCTTTTTGGGTCTGCTCGGAGGCAAGCAGCGCAGCAGTTGACAGAGCAGGATCAGATAAGGCCAGACACAGCAATGCGTGGGCTCTCTCGGGTGTCCTGCTCCGTCTGGAGGCCGAAAACCTCCATGGTTTCCATGGCCTGAAGCTTTTTGCAAACCTACGGCGTTTCGCTCGCTGAGGAGATCTGCCGTCGGGTGCATGCACAACATCCTGATGGTCTCCGCCGCGGACTAGCGACAAGATTGTGGAAATCCGGGAGGAAGCTCCAGTTGGCTCACTTTCAGATAGCTCATCATAACAGGAATTGTCAGAGTGTGAATAAATGGTGGAATTGAATGTTTTGGATGAGCCTTCGTCGTAGCTGCTGCTGTCTAGGTCGCTAGGGTGATAAGATGACCAAGAAGCTGTGGGGAACAGCAGAGGTAACGGGCGCAGGCCTCCTCTCTCGTTCTCATTTGCTGGTTCTCTCTTCTTACACCTCTCATTAGACTGCGCTGTCTCAGTCACTTCCTCCCTCCGGTGAAGAGCACCAGCAATCAACTCCATCGTGCCTTATTGCTGCTGCTACCTTGTCTGCAATTAAGGGGGAAGAGACATGGCGAGAGCGCCAAACGGCACATGAGCCCATACGAATCAAAAGGCTACTATATCCCTTGAGCTTTCAGAGCTCTCCTCAGTACCAACTGAGGGGCAGCTCCCTACGGGTCGTATAGTGGAAGGAAGACTACCATAAGTGCAGGAATGCTGAGGTGGGGAGAGCCGCAACGCCACAAATTGTTTGGAATATTGTTAAACGTTTAGGGGGAAATACATTGTAAAGGGGAAGGGAAGCAATGGATGCCTGTGCTGCTCCAACGACGAGCCAAGGTGCAGTTCCTTCGGCAACAGGGAGCAGCACGGGGGGCCCATATCGCCTGAGTTTTCTTGCTTGCTTGTTCCTTTTAGTAGCAACAGAGTAATTATTGCTTGACGAACATTCAAGAGAGCATGGTTATAAAGTAATAATCGCTGCAGCTTTCGCGTTGTCGCCCTCCCTAACAAGATATATCTCAGCAACGAACTGTGACGGCGTGCCCACCACACCAGCTAGGGATAGTTCAAGTAGAGAACCACACAAATCGATCCCAGACTCCCCTGTCCCTACAATTTAGTGTTTGAACTATATGTAATACAAGTGGAGCCAAAACTAGGAATAAAAGGACGAAAACGCGATATGAGTTGAGGTGTGCAGGGTCACTCTCTACGTGGTCACCGAGTCGAAATTGCACAGTACCAGAGAACACAAAACGGAAAGAGAGAGCTGGAAACAGCAAATAGTATGCTTTTAAACAATTTTAGCGATAAACGAAAGTTGTTTAACAGTATCACGAGTGCCTTGTCACGCCCAGTTTCATGGGCCTAAATTGTGTCAGAACCCCTTCTACCACTTGTCTGCACGCCACACGCTGGTCGAATGCTGAGGGGAATTCTCTCCACTTGCAAAAATCCGTCCCGAATTGGAAACGCTAAGTGAAATCATTCAGATGCCCTCTTTGGGGGGAAATCTAATAGCTCGAGAAGGCATTGGAAACCAGTGTGCTCGAGCGTGAACTGCATAGGGCACTGTGGGCACTCATGCTATAAGAATAAATGCACGAAATAGCACCGTTGATATATTCTCAGCTTTCTCATACAGCCTTTCTCTACAGGCTGGTAAACGGTTTTCTTCTAGACCTGATCATTACGGTGAGGTTGCAATATCTAAATATGAAATCCTGTATGTAGGCGTGATATGGGCGCCGCAGGAGTCTACATGGTCTTTTGCAGTCGGGAATTAGTAAGACCCGCTTTTCCAGAAAAATATTTGCAATAAAGATATACATTTAAGTGTTCCTTGTGTTTGAATTCAACATAAGGGTCACTGACAAGGGTCAACGCTTGCCATGCGCTCGCTGGCTGGACCGGACACCGGCCCTTGAAGAGGAGCTAGTGAGCACCCGTCCGGTTCGCTTGATACCTCTTTCACTGGAGCTCCTGCTGATAGAACCAATTTTAGTTGTCGTATTTGGCGTTTACAAATCATTTCGGTTTTTTTTGGAGGCCTTTGACCTGCCGTTTGCTGTCGTTGCTCCCCCTCTATTTTTTTCTTAGTGTACCCAGCTTAGCTGGAGAAATTGGCGGCGCCTTGCATTCCCGAATCTTCTGGTTCTGCTACCACTTTCAATGACACCATAAAAGCAGAAAGCGAAATTCCAGCGTCCTGCTGCCAGCCGACAGCTGGTTGTAGTTGTTGCCTAGAAAGGAGGATCTCGCTGTGTGTCTGTGTGTCTTGTAGAAATCACCGGTGTAATCTGTCTAAACTGTCCTAAAGCAATCTTTTGTCGGCTTGTTTTGTTTGTTGACCTCGGAGGGATGGGCCGAAACATCTCCTTTGAGGTGTACGGTTAGCAGCTATTTGACTTTATGCGCACTCCCAACGCCGGGGTGCACCGTTCGTATTGTTTGCAATAGGTTATCTGTCCAGTTGAACCGTATTTCTCACCCTGACACTCCCCTATTAGCGGCTCTGCCGCTGTTGGCTTTTCTGGGGATTAAGGGAGCAGACGGATCCACCATTTTTTGTGGGTATCGACAATGCTCGCGCATATGTTGCGCTTCCTTCAAGGCAGCAAAGTCAATAGTACTTGCCGGTCTCCCGGTGACCGTGAGAGTTTGCACCATGCCCACGACTCCTCCTCCGCCGATTGTCAGCCATTCCAGCATGCAGACGAAAGCAACAGCAATGCGAATGTTGCAAAGGACGACGGGAAAAGGAGAGGCATTTTCGGGTTTCTGAAACTTCACAGCGACTGCCCCAGCAAAGCGGCCTTACGAGCATGCCCACCATCGCCTCGTACGAGCTCAGCAGCTGAGACGAATGCATACGATGAACATGAAGGAGATACCCGGTGGCAGAGTGCAGAAACTGACGATCGCAAGCCTAATGACAGTTGCAGCCCTCCAGATAGCAGCAACGACAGCAGCACCAGCGGCGCCGGCGCCTGCAGCGAGTTGTATTGTCCTGCCTGTGGAGAGCTCGGGGGTGCTTTGTTATGCCACGAGTGTGGCCCTCGGCCTGACAATACTTTCCTCAGACACTACAGACGTTCTTACCTCTACAAGGCTTTAGATATTCTCTTGAGTCTTGCTGAATTCGTTGGCCGTTCCCTCCTGTGCGTCGGGTCTATGCTTAGCAAATACTTGTGCACAGGAGGGGGAAAGTCGGAAGCAAACGAAGATGCAGGTGTGGGGGGCTTCAAGGCTCGTAGAGCAGCCCCTTCAGGTCTCCAGTTGACAGAAGGAGCATGCAGAGCTGTCAGACGGAGGCCAGGGAAAGGCACGCAACAGAAATGCTCGCCAAATTCGGACATACAGGGCCCAACAGATGAGCAGCGACAAAGTGTGCAGCACGACACCACCGAGGCAGCAGGGAAAGAGACTAATAAGCAGCGACAGCAGGAAGAATGCAAGGGCAACAAGCTGACGCCACCGCCTCTGCGAGACCCGGGGAGTGTAACGCATAAGTTTTGGGCTACGGTCAATTTTCTTGAAGATTTATTTGTCAGTTTGTCCCTGAGACATCCGTTGTCGGGTTGGTTGTCTTGGAGTTTGTTAAGTATTGGCTTCTATTGCGTGTTGAATTGCATGCTGTGGCCTCTCTTAATCCTCTTTTTTGTTTATCGTCGCATTCGCTTCTACGCGTGGGAAGCGGCTGTACGTTTGCGCCGCTCAATTGTTTTTTCGGATGATCTTCTGGCACAGCTGCAGCGGCAGCAGCAGCAGCAGTTGACCAGTTCAAGAGGTTGGGGATTGATACCCCTTCCTGTTCCTCGGGGTGTGGGTTCAAAAGGTGTCGCTCCGATTGAAATATTATCCTTGATGGAGAGTCAGGAGAAACTCTTTTTCTCTATGCCTTGGATGGCGGTAACGGGCTTCTCTTACTGTGAGAGGCTGAGCTTTCAAGAGTTGTGCATGGCGATAACTCAGAAACTCCTGAAACCCAAACAGGAATTCGCATGTTTGGCAAATTGCACTGGTGGATCTGATTTTCTTGATCAGCTGCCAGTTTCTGCATTTCTGCACCCTCGACTCCTCGCTAGGGTGCAGCGCGTCATGGGCCGGTACTGCTGGGTTCGGCAGCCGGGCTTTAAGGTATCTCAGCAGGTAATTAAATTCACGAAAAAGGGAATAAATGTGCTGCGTAAGCAGCGGTGTGCTGCTAAGGGTGAACCAGAAGAAGGATCAAAGAGCGGAGAAGAGAATTCATGCTTTTGCAGGTCTGCAGCAGAGTGCAACTGCTTAATGGATGAGGCAGATGTACTGTGTTTGGTTAACGAGGCATTATCTCAGCCCCTTGATCCAATGAAACCTTTATGGCAGTTTCTTTACCTTGAAAATGTCATTATGCCTCCGAATCCAGCGGAGAATCCATTGCAGAAGGAACGTATAGGAAGCGCTGTAGTGTTCCGCATGCATCATGCAGTAGGAGATGGTATATCTATAACAAGGATGTTCCTTAAAGATTTCTTGTGTTCATCACCAGCAAATCCAGGCTGTAGTATTAATGACAGGCCTTTCTATCCAATTGATGCAACAGAGGAGAGTTTCTTACAAGATAAGACTACCTCTGGTGGTGACGGTGTAGAGGGGGCTGCCTCCTCTCTTAGTCGTGCCTCCATCTCTAACCAGCCAGTATCTGCAACTCATAAGTGCGAAGAAGGAACTCCTGTTAGCGCCGCCAGCACCAGCACAATGTGGACAGTTTCGGGGCTTTCTTTGAAGGCATGCGTAGATGGATGTGATGCGACTACAGAAAAATGCATGCAGCGTTCGTCACAGGCAGTTGGGGGGGCCCCTACTAACGGAGGACCTGTAACTGTAGCTGCTGCAGCACAGGTTGGTGCTGCACAGAAGCCTCCTGTATCTATATGCTCTATTCCTAATACTGTCTTCTGGAGGCTCTTTGTTGCACTACGATTTGCCCTACAATTACCCTTCTATGGAGCAGGTATGGCTATGCTGCTGAGCTACGATGAGCTGCTCAAGGCACCAAGGAGCGGCAGCGCAAATAGGACAAGAATTGCCCCCCCTATTTGTCTTTCTTTACAAGAACTTAAGGACCTTAAGACGAGGCTTATTGTTGCTCTAGCTAAGCAGCAGCAACAGCAACAGCAGCAACAACAGGAACAACAGCATGTGCATGCAAAACATTCAGCAAAAGATATACCAGCAATAAGCCGACTATTTTCTCGGTTATTTACATCTTCTAAGATGCAAAAAGGGGAAGGGGAAGGGAATAACATAAAAGTAACTCTTAATGATATATTTGCTACTTGTATTGTTGGTGGATATTATCGCTGTACAAGTAGACAAGAAAGGGAGAAATCTTTACGATCTTTAACAAAAGGAATAAAAGATAATAATAATAATAATAATAATAAATATATAAATAATAATAATAATATAAATAAAAGAAAAGAACAAATGAATTTTGTTGTTCCTGTTAATCTTCGTCATGCAGAAGCAGAGGCAATGGATTTACGTAATCGTTTTGCTTCCTTAGTAATACAGATGCCAATAACCCCTCAAGGGGACTCCCTACAGAGGTAAGGAGCTCAATATAATTAATTAATTAATTAATTTAATTTATTAATTAAATTAATTAGATTAATTAAATTTATTTTTTTTTTCCTTATAGGATGCGCGGGGTCCACGGAGCACTAAGACGCTCCCTAAGAAGTTTTGCCCTCCCTATGGTGATGTGCCTTGAGCGATGGCTGTATGCCACATGGCCAGATCTACTTATGGCTTATTTTCTTCGTCTTACTCATAAGGTACGTCTGCTGCTGCTGCTGCTGCTGCTGTTGCTGCTGCTGTTGCTGCTATTGCTGCTGCTGCTGCAGTTGCTGAAACTGCAACAGCTGCTGCTGCAATTTAAATACATCCTATTAATGCATGCAACTAATGCATGCAATGCGCAAATGATGTATGAGGAGGAGAGGCTACTGTCTGTTGCTGCTCAGCATTATTTATATCTTGCGTACATTATATAAAAAATATACAATTATTATGAATAAATAATACTTAAGAAACTGTCTTGTTCCCCCACCCTTATATGTTTATTTATATTTCTTCTTTTTTTTCTTGTTTATTTATGCAGATATCTGTTATATTCAGCAGCGTTATTGGGCCAGCAGCACAGCCATACATGTATAGCAGTCGTATACAAAGGATGCACTTTGTTGTACCACAACCAGGAGAGGTAATTCTTTTTTCTTTTTTTTATTTTATTGTTTTTTTATTATTTATTTTTATTTATTTACCTTCCCTTTATTTTGTTTTGTTTTGTGTTTTGTGGACTTGCACAAAGAAGAAGAGATGCATTTAGCTGCTGTATAATATGTGGTTATGGCTCTGCTGTTGCTGTTGCTTTTGCTGTTGCTGCTGCTGTATAAAGAAGATATATATATATATTAT